ACTTGTGCTTAATGTCATATTTGTACAAAACACTCTCTGTTTCTGCACTGGCAGAGCACAGTGATCCTCTAGAAATTGTCAGTGAGTGTTTGATACCGAAAGATTGTTACAAATCACTTTCAAAGATCCCTGTGGCCTGCAAAAAATACTTCTGTATTGCCGTCTTTACAGCTGTACGTAGACTAAAAACGGATGTTCTTCTGTGTTTCCACAATAATTATTGTCTTTCATGCTACCAGTGCAGCAGCACTGACTGCTCCAGACGACATCGTGTGCATTGTGACTCTGCCACACCACAGAGCCAAGCACAAACCTTTCTTGATCTCCATGCCACTCCTCTATGGACCCTGGGCCATCAATTGCAATGCTGCGTGCAAGGAGTCTGCTGCCCAGGGTAAGCAACCTGGAAGCTGAAAACTAATGAATTTGCCTCTGAGGCTTAATTGTAAGAAAAGTAATTAATCTTGCTCGGTTGCACTCATGTCAAGCAAACTTTTGCTGATGAAGAAGAAAACTGCTGAGCATTCCAATTTACTCTCCAAGTCAGCCTCTCCCTGTTGGACTTTGTAGGTAATTGGCACATCGTTCCTATCCTGTTTTCTACAGATTCCCCAAGAGGCATCCGTGAAAGGAAGGTGTCAATGTCAGTGAGAGAAGGGGGTTTTGCAACTCAGACTTTTGTTCCCTCTCCCAAAGAAGTTCCAAGTTTACTTAGCGCCCCAGTTTTGCTCAGAAGGGAAGAAGGAATGTGCAAAGCAGCTGCCAGAAGGTTCCACAGCAGCTTGTATGAGATCTCCACACAGCCCTGCCACTGAGCCAGTATGAAGCAAGCATGAGTCCAGCTCACATCCATCCATGGTTTGAGCCTCTGTGACGGTGCACTGGGTGTAATCTTAACACCCTTCTGCCATCTGCTTTGGTTTGACATCAATTGCTCTCTTGAGCTGTTATATGGGGAGCCTACGCTGGCTGGCAGAGACGTGGCCACTGCTCAGGATGCCCTGTGCAAACTCCTCATGAGCTGACAGACTCTCAGAAAAATGCTGAGGCTGTGAGCGAGAGCAGGACTGGCAGAGCCAGCAGGGTGCCATCGGCCCCAAAGAGGCAGCAGGATCAGAGGCACAAAGGCAGCCCTGCCTGGTCTGGGGCAACACCAGCGGCGCTCTCATGGCTCAGGCTGCCAGTGCTGCCCAGGTTCCTGATGGGAGCCTCAGATCTGGTTATTACACTTTATTCGCCTTTCGAGGACCAGAGTTTATTCACTTAAATTCTGATCGCTGTGATTCTTTAGGCTTGCTGCACTGGGGCAAGCAATGCAGTTTCTGGGAAATGTGTATGGGTGGTAAATACACATGAGTTTTGTCAGTTGTGTGAGCAAAAAATGGTGATGAAATACAAACATTAACATAAAGGGCAAAGAGAAGGATGAGAAAACAGTTTAAAAAATCCATGTGCCAAACAACAGACACAGATAGCTACATTTGTTCTGCTCATAATAAATATTTTCTCACACAAAGTACTTTACTACTAAAAGGAGCACAAAGGATGAATCCTTATACTTTGATCTTAGAATCACTTCTGGAAATGCAAAAGTTCTAGCAAAATGTAAAAATGTTCATGTTTTAGACAAATTAAAACATATTTTTAATTACCTAGTTTAATTTACATCTGTACATGATAACAAAATGCAGAGAAGATAGTTTATTAAACACACATTAAAATATTAAAACTGAGCAATGGGGCTGGAGTTCAAATGTCAAAGCACTACCAAAAAGAACCCTCTACCTCAGTATCCTGTGAAATGAGAAGGATGTGATGGTAAAACAAGCCTTTTTCACCTCTATTGGTGATTCGGAATGAGAAGCAGAAGCATTTCCATTCACTGCCACTGAATTGACCAAATCAAGAACATTAAGTTTAGATTTCTTTCTTGTCTCAAAAGCTTTAAATGGAAGAAACATTCTGCTCCCAAAAGGAGTTGTAAAAGACTGGCTTAGTGCATGGAGATTTTCATATCCTAGAAGACTCCAAAAAGGAAAAATAATTTCCAAAAGTTATGTCAGTATCTGTCACTGCAGATGGGAATGGGTATGAGCCAGAGGCACAGCAGAGGCCCACACAGCTGGAGCAAAAACTGGTGGCAGCCAGGGCTACGCTGTCCCTGCAACCTCAGAGCTCCTGTCTGCAGGCAGGGCAGAGGAAAAAGTGCAGCAGAGCAGAAAATGACCTGTGGCCCAAGCCATAGTACATGTTGGAAATGAAACAATGTTTTAGCTGCTTAACCTGAGCTACCTTTTTTTTTTCTTTTTAAATATCAACAGTTTATTTTAGAATAACTGTACTCAACAAAATCTGAGGCAAAGTACAGCTGTTATCAGTCCTTGCACCATCTCTTGCAATTGTGGGGGGATTTAGATGAAACTCAGCATAAGTAAAATCAGTTCAACCTTTTTGAGAAAACAAGACTCGAGATGAACTGAACTAAGTGGCACACCAATGCCATGTCATGCAGTGCACCTGGCAGCGGTGCCGTGCTGGGCCAGCTGCGAAAATGAACCGGCTTTGGAGCTTCAAATCTTGTTATGTAGTGCCATCTTGAGGCCTTGGGAAATGGAAAGCAGCCTTTCTGAGAAGAGACAGTTTTTACCTGGTTGTAGTTGGAGCAGTCCATTCTTCAGGGTGTATATTGAGTGCATTCAGCTGGATTTGTGAACAGAAGATGGGGATGGACTCACCTGGCTGGAGCACCACTGGCTCTTTCCCTGCTCCCTGGTGGCACAGCTCTTTGGAACACCTTTCCCAGAAACATTTCACCTATCCAGCATTTGAAACCCCCAGCGACAGACATCACACTGGCACTGCAGATGAGATTGAGGACCACAGCACATGGCTGCTCCTCTTTGGCAAGGCACAAACACATAGCTGCTCCTCTGCCCCGCGCTGCCAGCTGCTGTCCCTCCTGAGAGCTGGCAGTGCAGGGAGCGGGGGCCATGAGTGCAAAGCCCCACCTTGCCCCCAGCTGCCCTAAATATAGAGGTTTGATAGCTTAGGTGCCTGGTGGCCACACCTCTGCCACCTCCAGCACCCAGGGCTGGGGTTTTCCATGGGGATATCGTGTCATGATGGAGCAGCAGTCACCCTGTGCCTGGCTCTGGGCTGCAAGGGCTGGCCACAGGGCCAGAGAAGGCAGGCAGCAGGATGGGAGTCACGGGCTGGAGTAAAAACAAGGCAGCCAAGGAAAGTCTAGAGGAATAACCTGAAGGACCACATGTGGAGGGCACAGCGGGGGCACCGGGAAGCCAAAGGGTATGGAGGGACAGCATGGCCTGGCTATGGCACCTCACCTGCCATACGGTGCCTGCAAAGGGAAGAGGTGGTTGGGTCTTGGGGTGACACTGGGGGCTGAGGAAGGGGGTCTGGGCAGCAGCCATGGCAGTGGGGCACACAGGGAGGGTGTGCCCATGGAGAGACACAGCCCCACGGAGCTGGGGGTAGCAGGTCTCCCATGGCACCGATGTGTTTGTGGGGACATGCCTGCTCCTTTGATACCATCTCCCATGGCATACTCCTGGAAGAGCTGGCAGCCCATGATGGGGACAGGTGCACTCCTCACTGGGCTGACAACTGGCTGGATGGGTGGGCCCAGAGAGTGTGAACAGTGCTGCATCCAGCTGGGATCCAGTCACCAGGGGTGTCCCCCAAGGACAGCATAGGGCCCAGTTCGATTCAATATCCCTACTGATGATCTGGGTGAGGGCTTGAGTCTACCTTCAGCAAATTAGCAGACAACACCAAGCTGGGTGAGAGTGCTGATCTGCAGAAGTGCTGGAAGGCTATGCAGAGTAATCTGGGCAAGGTGGATCAATGGTGAATCACTGGTGGTACCAGTGGTGAGACAAGTGTCATGAGGTTCAACAAGACCAAGTGCCAGGTCCTGCACTTGTGTCACAACAAACCCATGCAGCTCTGTGCGCTGTGGCAGAGTGGATGGAAAGCAGCTCAGCAGAAAAGCACCTGGGGCGCTGGTCGACAGCTGCTGAGCATGAGCCAGTGTCCCCAGGTGGCCCTGGAGGCCATGGCATCCTGACCTGTATCCAAATTGTGTGGCCAGCAGGACCAGGACACTGATTGTCTGCCTGTACTTGGCACAGATAAGGCCACTCCTTGAATGCTGTGTCCAGTTCTGGGCCCTTCTGTTCAGGAAAGGCTTTGAGATGCTGGAATGTGTCGAGAAGGGCAATGGAGCTGAAAAGGCAGGAGCACAAGTCCCGTGAGGAGTGGCTGAGGGAGGGAGGTCCAGAGGAGAAGAACCTGGGGAAAAGGAGGCTCGGCAGGACCTTGTTCCTCTCAGGAACAGCCTGAACGGAGGTGCAGCCACACGAGGGTCGGTTACTTTGCCAAGCAACCAGCAGCAGGACAAGAGGACACGGTCGTAAGGTGAGCCCGGGGAGGTTTAGGTTGGCCATCAGGGGGTTCCTCACAGAGGGTGATCAGATATTGGAATGGGCTGGCCAGGGAGGCGGTGGAGTCACCGCTCCCGGAGGTGTTTAGGGAACTTGAACATTTAGTGCCATGGTCTCGTCGGCATGGTTCAGTCACAGGTGAGAGCCGATGGTCGCACGGCTCTTTCCCAGCCCAGCGCGTTCGGCGGCGCCGCGCTGAGGCCGAGGCCTCCGCCGCCCCTCGGCCGCTTCCGTGAGCGCTCGCGAGTTTCCGGCCGCCTCGGCCGCGCGCACGGCGGGCGGGGGGGGTGAGCGCGCGCTCCCCCTCCCCCCCCCCGCAGCCCCGCTCGGTGCTTCCCGCGCGGGCCGCCCCGGGGCGGAAGCGCCGCTCGCGCCTTCCCGCCGCCCGCTCGGCTCTTTCCGCCTCCCCCTCCGGGGCGCTTCGTTCGTTTCCGCGGCCGCTCGGCTCTTTCCGCGGGGGCCGGCGGCGCGCTCGGCCGTTCCCGCCGCCTGGCGGGCGCTCGGCGCTTTCCGTGAGCGCTCGGCGTTTTCCGTGCGGGGCCGGGCGCGCTCGGCGCTTGCTCCCTGGCTGGCGCTCCTCAGTCGGCCGCTGCCTGCCTGTCGCCGGGCTGGGAGCGCCTGTGTGTGTGAGTGACGCGGCGGAGGTGTAGTTTGACGCGGTGTGTTACGTGGGGGAGAGAATAAAACTGCGGCGAGATCCCAGGCGCGAACGAAAGCAGTGACGGAGCAGCCTGGTAACCGGTAAGAGGAGGACGGCGCCCAGCAAACAGGGGCGGGGGGGAGGGAAGGAAATGGAGCCCGGCGGGGACCAGGGGAGCCGCCGGGCGGCAGGACGCGGGGGCCCGGCCGCGCACCGCCCGCGGGAGGGGCGCCCGCCTTAAAGATGGAGCCGAGCCCTGCAACATCCCCGCCGCCGCCGCGCCGCGAACAAAGGATAATGGCGGATGGGAGCCGGCCCGGCGGCGGCCACGGCCGGGCGGCGGCGGCGGCTCTGTCGGCAGCCAGCGGCTCCGGCTCTCGCTCCCCCGCTGCCGCCCCCGGCCCCGCCGGGCTCCGGGGACCCTCCCGCGGGGCCGCCGCGGCCCCCCGCGCCCGCCGGAGTTCCGCTTCCCCGGCGCCGTACGGATAAACAAACAGACTCCCGCCGCGATGGACACGAGTGCGCGGGGCGCTCCCCGGCTCTGTAACGAGAAGCTTTTAATAAAATCTGTGCTGGAAGCCGGGGCAGCGCTCGGTCCGGCGGCTCGCTGTCGCTCCGTCTCCGGGCAGAGGTGCCGGTCACCCAACACCGCGCTCCGGGCGGCAGCCGCGGGCGCAGCCCGAGCCCGCGCGCAGGTCACGTAGCAGGGATACGGTTCCCTCTGCCGCGCCGCTGCTCCCCGGGAGTATTTTTAACCCAAAGTGAACTTGAGCCAGGCTGCGGCTGGTAAATCTCGGTTTGGGATTTGCTTTTGCCAGTTTTGCACAGACTTGGGTGCTGCACAACGAGCAGGATTTGACCTCTATCCCAGCTTTAATAGCAAATGTCAGCTCGCATGCCTTTTTCCACCTTACACCAGCCTTGCATTGCTGCAGCTGGGGGCTTTTTTTCCTCTTTTCTTGCCTAGAGTAGAAGGCAGTGTTTTGACTTTGTTCTACTCTCAAATCCTGCATATCTGCTATTTTGTGTTACAGTAGTAAGCAAAAACAACGTGGCAGACTTAAAAATCTTTTTAAGCAAAGGTTGTTACACGTTTTAAATGTATACACGGATAAAAAGTTTTAAATGAGCATATGATTTTTTTTTTCATGAAACACTTTTAAAATTTTTGTTTCTTTCTCTTAAATATTGGAATGCCAGCTCACAATCTTCTTCTGGAATAACACCTGTCTTTTTTTTTTTCTCCCCCCCCCCGGGGTTAGAAACATGTTTTCTATTTCCTAAATAAAAGACTAGAGACTTCTTAGAAATATCATGTATCTCTGTTTAGTCCCATGCTGACCACCACTAAACACAATTTTAGAATACAGGAATTCTGAGACTCTGCTTGCATCCTTTCTTCCTTGTATCAACAAATGTGGATTTACACAGTAAAATACGAAGTCACTAAAATAGGTTTTGTTCAAAATGGATATTTGTAATTCACATGTATATTTCCTTGTATGTGAATTTCTGTTTCCTGTCACTTCCACCACTTGTTTTGAAATGAAGGCCAGAGATGCTCTACATAACTTCACTGTGTAATACCAACATGAGAAGAGGGTTTTTAAACTTTAAAGGGATTAATAGACATCTGAGGACTTCAGTAAGCAATGTAGCTGTTGATAGTGATTAAAGAGAGTGTAATTGTTGGTGTATTTCATTCATTCTTGGTTTGATGGAATACGCACTACATTGTAAATACAAAAATGGGACAGAAAATCCTTGCTTGTTGTTTTTTTGTAGTTTTAGAAAAACACTTCATTTTATTCTGCTTCATAATAGAGTAGAAGACTCAGATCCATGATTTCAAACACAGGTCTCTGCATTTCCTCACCAGCTTTGTCCCCTCACAGGTCAGGGAGAAAAGGGAGCAGAGAGGTGGTTGTGTATTTGCTAAGCATCACTTACATGTGACCTAAAATGAAATTGTTGCATGTAGTAAAGAAGAGTGTAATCATTTTTAATGCTGTAATTGAGATAGCACCAGTATTCAGATTGGTGCTCTCAATATGGTGTTTGGATCTGCACTGAACAGTCTGCATCTAATGTATTTTTTTTCTCATAGGTTTGGTGATATGTGTGTCTACTACTCTGGGTAAAAAATGTAAAGAACCAGTCAAACAAAAAAAAACCCAACACAAAAAACACCCCAAAGTCTAAAAGAGGGGAGGGGTTTGCTGATACAGAAAATTTAGAAACATCTCATTTAGACTGTCAAGTCATCAGTCTGGCTGTTTCTTGGAAACCTGCACCAGCACAGTTCTTGCTGTACAGAATCTTCTGTAGATCTTACTCTGCAGAGCAGCTGTTCTGCTGCAGTGAGAAGCAGCTCCTCTTGCCTAAGTGCAGCTACAGCTCTGTAGGTGCATATTTTGATAGGAGACAAGGCCCCAGCTGGGAATTTCTGTTGGCACCGTTTTGAAACAAATGGGATATTCACACTTCACCTCTATTTTTGGATCTCTGGAAGCAAGTGGAGATCAGTTACTCATGCCACACCTCTCAAGGCTTTTGTGCAGTGAGAAGGCCGTGTTAGCTTTCTGCCACTAATCTAACTAAAGTTAGTTTTGTGGGATGTGACAGCAATCCTCATCTACAGAAACAACCCTACCCAGTTTCCTTTGAGTTCTCTGGTACCTACCTGCATACAGCTGAAGTTCATGACAAGGCAGTGATTTTTTTTTTTTACTGAATCAAAAATTGTGTTGCCTCATCTGCAGTCTGAGATCATATTTCATAGTGATTGTGAAAACCTGAGCAGCCTGCCATTAATGATCTCTGTACATCTCCCAACATGAAGGCATTGATACCTATTTTGTTCTTCAAAGCTTTTAAATCACTTGATTGTACTGCAGTTAAAAAAGGTGAGTGAGAATGAATACAACACCTTCCAGCTTTCCATATTTCTGAAACAGCCTTGTCAGCTGCCCAGGAGGTGAAAATGTGCCAGGCTCTAGTTGGCCTTTCAGGTAAAAAGAGGACTCAAAGACAGCCAAGAAATCTCTGCTGCTGTTTTTGTCTGGCAGTGCTAGATTTATAGTATTATGTGTCAAGTGGAAAGAATAGAAAACTCAGTGTTGGAAGAGGCACTTTAAGGTGAGAAGATAAAGAATTTGGAGGAAGCGTGTTCTTCTTTGGATGCTTGTATATGTTTACCTGACATGTACATACAAACAAGTTTAAAGCAGCACTGACACTTGTTAGTTACTTGCAGTGTTTTTTGAGTAGAGTGCAGAGAGGTACAGGATATAATCCTAAGGTAATAAGCATTCCTATTTTTGTTCTAAGAATATTGTAAGAGTTGATATTTTGAAAAAAAAAATACCATTAGGTGGAAAAAGGAAAAAAAATAGTTCTGAAGATAGGAGACTCCTGCCAATTGCTGTTCTGGATTTTGTTACTTTTCAGTTGTTCTCTGACAGACTACACTGGCTATTTGAGACACAGTTGCAGGAAGCCTTACAGTGAATTGTCTGGAACCTACCTTGGTTCAGGAAACGGAAATAAAAATCTCTATCCTTGATGCTTTCATGCTTTTTGGAGGGGAGAGTTAAAGTGATTTGTAAAAATCTCTGATCTTTAAGTTCTATGATAGTCTGTTTAGTCATTGAGGTTATCAGGAAAACTCCTTTTCCCTGCACATGGCAGAACTAAAGCCCGGTTATCTTTTCTTCTTTAGGCAGAAACTTCTTCAGATAGATTTCTAAACTCACAAAAGAGCAGGTAGCCTAAGAAATCTGGGAATTCTTGAAGCTTAATCTCCTGGCTGATGAACTGAAACCATAGTTCCTCATAGCATTTTTTGGTAGTAATACTTCCATGTCTTTTCCATTGCACTTGCACAAATGCTTGGGATACTGCATGGGGAAGTGGTTCAGCTGTTTGAGAGGTGTGGGGCCTGGTTCATTTTCACCTGGATCATTCCCTGCCCTGGTTGCTGCATGGCTGCACAGGAGCTGTACCAGCATAATCAGGGGAAGGGATGGGGCTGGAATGAGCAGGAAGATAAGGGCAGCTCAATCAGCTTTGCTGCTAAATGAGACAGGGCAGCCTATGTAAAATTTTTTTAATTATTGCTGTGTTTATAACTAAGCTGGATGACACAGATCCTGCTGGGGTTCTTACCACAGAGCTGGATCATTCAGCTGTGTCTTAAGTTCTTACATGTGCTGACCATGAGCAAATGAACATGAGCAACAGCTGTTCCCAAACTTCAATATCATGTATTAAACTGATTTCTTGTGCTGCTTATTTACTTGTCTCAAACACCTTTTGTGTGTGTGTGTTTTAGCAAGTTCTCTCTTCACTTCCTCTACTTCCTTTTTTTCAATTCACATTTTAAGTTCACCTGTTGCTATTCACTGCAGCTCTTTACTGCAATATTTTAGTCATCTCTTCAGAAACTCTGCAACCTCCTGTGACATTTTGGGTCCAATATTACATGCACTTTTCTTATAGGTGCTGCCTTAAATCTCTCATTCTCTATGCTGTTCCAGTATCAATTGGATTTCACTTCCCCTTGCACCTTTCCTTGGGCTTGAATGTCAAAATCTCATCTGTAAAATCTCTCTCATCACCTTTTATATACTATTAAATAATGGATGGGAAGCATTATTTTTTTGCCTTTTTTTTCTGGCATCTGGCTATGTGTAGCTGGCCTGGCCTCAGAATACATTGATGCCTGTCCATTGCTCCAAGTAGCCTACAATATGAGAAGGATTTTTAAATTTACACCTTTCTGGATTGTAGAGAGCTTTCTTTCTCTTGGCAAAAAAAAAAGGCTAGGGTATTACTGTAGGTGTAGAACCCCTGCCCTCTTTGTGAAACTCATCCAGATTTTCCTTTTGTACTGATAGGAAAATTCTGAGAGATGAAAGGGAAGGGAAGGTGTGAGAAAGGGTACTGTGTACTAATGCCACAGTATAACCAACAAAAGTGATCTGTTGCTGTGGTTTTGTCTGAGCTGATACAGCTGCATGTGGCTCTCAGGAGACAGTCTTGCTGTCTGCCTCCTGCTCCTGGCTGTGTGGTGCTGGACCATCTCTTTACATTGGCTGTA